TGCACCACCATGCCTGGCTAGATTCTCTCTTTTCAGAGAACATTTCTTTTTTTTTTTAAGTAAGAAGAATTTATTGAGAGAAAGATAGCTTCCGTCTAAGAGAGACAGAAGGGGACCTGGAAAATGGGTTGCCCCCAGAGAAATATTACTGAAACTTGTAGGCAGTGATTTTTTTCCTTTATTTATTTTTTTTGGTTTATTGAGACAGGGTCTTACTATGTAGTTCAGGCTGGACTTGAACTCATGGCAAACCTCCTGCCTCAGCCTCCTGAGTGCTGGGATTACAGGCGTGTGCCATGACGCCCAGCCTTTTCTCTTTATTTCTCACCACATCTCAGGCTATGCTTCCCCTTGAGAAGGGAGCTTTGCCACAAAATGAATTAGAACTTTATTATTGTGTGTGGGTGTGGAGGGGTAGCTGAGCAGACACTGCTGCCTGTGCCTTTGGTATTCTTGGTATTAATAGAGCTGCTTTCAGGGTGCATTAGGCCTAAAAGCAATCCCTGAGGAAAGTGTGAATGTCCCTTTGGTCATAAAAAGTCATACACAGAAACCACAGTGCGATGTAATACATTTTTAATTATTAACAAGGTGAGCTGTGATAACATAATGTATTGATAAAACATCCCCAGCAAGCACCATAAATACTATGTATTCAACATCACATCCTAAAATCGAAACAAGAGTAATATTAAAAGTTGTCTAAGCCACACACACAAGCTTAAAATTCCCCCTGCAAAATAAAAGAAGTGAAACTAGTTTGTCATCTGAACCTCAGAAGGTTATTTACAGTCTCAATATCCTTCCAACTGCTTAGAGATGAGCAGTCTAACAGAAGATACTAGTTTCCCCGTCTTCTCCACAGAGAGAAAGCACTAGCATTATTATTATTATTATTTTGTACCGGGAATGGAACTCAGGACCTTGCGCTCTCCAAGCAGGAGCTTGTGCCCCTGAGCTACATCTCCGACCCTCACCACAGTTGTTTTTTTTTGTTTTGTTTTGTTTCGTCTTTTTGAGACAGGGTCTCTCTATGCAGTTCAGGTTGGCCTTGAGCTCACTTTGTAGCCCAGGCTGGTCTTGAACTCACAACAATCCTCCTGCCTCAGCCTCTGGAGTGCTAAGATTACAGGCGTGTGCCACCACGCCCGGCTCTCCCCACACTTGCTTAACGACTGAGTTCCGAGTTCGGTTCCTACAACTAGGTCATTAACTGACCTGTCTCAAAAAAAAAAAAAGATATCACATAACCATTAACCAGCTTGACTCGGTAAAAATCACTGGGAATGCCAAATTTCCTTGACAGTGGAACTGGCATTCCCGGAGCCCCTGCTCTGCCCGCCTCTGTAGTAAATACCTCAGAGGATAGAAAGACAGAGAAAAGTATGCAGTAAAGCAGCTTACTAGCCAGGAGTGTAATCGCTGAGCCGAGGATAACCGGTAATTAATCGTTCAGTTGTTTCCTGAGGTTCAGAAGCTGTACATATAAAGGTACATGTAACCTTTGAGAAAATATGTTCACCCCTATGGTATGAGACATTTCTACACAGCAAAAAGTTTCAAAGGTAACATCACTTCTAAGGAGTTTGTTTATATCTGAGAATTTACCTCCAAGTGAATCAGCTTCATTGTCACCCCAGGAGCTGTTGGAAGCAAATGGTCCTTAGAAGTGAGCCCAATAAAGAATGCACTGAAAAGTTCTGCTGACCCTTTGAAACAGTTGTTCTGCCTGTATCATATGTGATCAAAAGAGCGTGCTGCAGATCACTCCCCTCTGCATCAGAACAGGTAAACACTATAGATAGTGGATATTTATTTATTTATTTATTTATTTATTTAGACAGGGTCTCACTATGTCGCCCAGGCTGGCCCTGAATTCACTATGTAACCCTGGCCTCAAACTCATGGTGATCTTCCTGCCTCACCCTCCCAAGTGCTGGGACTACAGGTGTGCATCACCACACTAGGCTCTATTTTTCAGATATTGAGGCATAAAGAACAACCTCAAACTTTGCCTCAATGCCCAAGAAATGTCAAGTAGTTTATTTTCCCCCACTATCAGGCATTATAGAAATAATATATATTTTGAAGACTTTGTCTTTTCATGAATGCTATGTTTATTTGCACAGTACACTTAGTGAATGGGCCTAAAATACAACAAGGAGACACAGGCTCCTTGTTTAAGGACTGAGTTACATTCCAGATGCTCCTTGTTTAACGATTGAGTTACATTCCCAAAACTAGGTCATTAAATGAATCGCTTGCTAAATGAGGAACTGTATGTAGCATATACATTACAATATTCCTTTTGGGCGTGGTGGCACATGCCCGTAGTCCCAGCACTTGGAAGGATCACCTCAAGTTCGAGGCCAGCCTGGGCTACATGGTGAGTTGGAGGCCAGCCTGAATTACAAAGCAAGAGACCCTGTTTCCAAAAAGCAAAAACTAAAATAAAAAACAAAACAATATTCAGAACAAAGAAATGGTCAAGGGAAACTCCAACTTGATGACTTTGCTTATATTTGCATAACTCTTACATGCAGTACTGTAATGTATAATAGAACATAAAGGGGCTGCAGATTTAGCTCAGCGGCACAGTGCCTGCCTGGCAAGTGCAAGGTCGTGAGTTCGATTCCCGGTAATGGAAAAAAACCAAAACCAAAACCAAAACCAACCAAACAAAAAAAGAACATAAAACTACAGTACTGGACAGTACAATCAGCAAAAATTACAGGACTGTATTGAAAAAGGTGTACTGTACAAAAAAAGACAGTGAGGTTTATCAACAAGATGTACAGAATTGCAGAACAATAAAAAAGATGGGTCATAAATCTGAACAGCATGCCTTGGTCAGAAGTTCAGTTGTTAAACAGGTAAGTTGTTACCCGGGAATATCTGTATTTTGTTGTTGGGTGAGGGAATGATTTAGGTGAAGAATGTTATCTCTCTCCTTCTTCGCATTACTGGGGACCTTCCCAGCTTCTTATTTCTTATTTTGATACAAGGTCTTGGTCAGTTGCCCAGGCTGAACTTGCGATTCTCCTGCCTCAGCCTCCCAGAGTGCTGTACTGTAGTTTGTAGGCCTGTACCATCATGTCCCCCTCTGTCACTCCTCTTAATCAGTGAAAGTTATATGCAATTTAAAAATTTCTTTTTGCTTTCCTCCCCAAATACAGGCTGTCCCAATATATTTACTCTGGCAAATAATTACACTTGAGAATAGAAATTTAAGGAAAACAAACCCATTTGCCAATTATTCTGACTGACTGTGACGGAGACTTAGGAACGTACTTCAAAGGAAACAACCTTCAAGCACCAGCTGATGAAAATGGACAAATTCTAATGATTTCTGAAATAAATAAATGGAGCAGAGAGCTCCCATCACACGGGTGTGAAGAGTTTGAATCGATACCCTCGATAAGTTCTGTTAAACGTCAGGATTTCAATGTGTGAAGTTTTGGTTTTGGGGTGTGATTTATTACACGTCAGATCAGACCCAACGTAATAAATAGCCGTGCGATAATGGACTTCTTCAATTCTAAAACGCCAAAACATTCCCGCAGAACTAGCAGACGGAAGTTAAGAGACATTCAGAGAGGAAGCGGCTAGGCCCCGCAAGCTCCGCGAAGATCGACAGGCCCACCAAGTGTCACGCCGGAGAAGCAACTTGCACGCCGGCTGTGGGGATTTACTCTGGGTTGGGAAGCTGCCGCAAGAATTCGTTTCTGGACGGATGGGATATTGTGTATTAACCGCATTAAAGACTCTCCCTCCAAGCAGGGCGTTATCAAGAAACAAACGTGGACTTAGAGCAAAGTGCAATTGCAGTCGGTCCACGGCTCGCTTGTTAAGTGCGCTGGAACCAGGGTCCGCCCACAAGGCCGGGTCCTGGAAGCGCAAGCAAACTGCCCTGCTGAAAATCCTGCCCGCAGCAGCAGTGAGCCCACGGCGGTGAGCGACAGGGAGCAGGCGGTCTGCCCAGGGTGCGGAGCTTCCGAGGAGGACGCGAGCCAGAGAGAACCGCTGCCCGGGGGACAGAAGTCACCGTGGGTCATCGGTCAGCTTCGTCCTGGCGGGGGGCTGGGGGCTCTGCTTGCGACCCCACCCCCTCATCTGCATGCCGCCCGCCCCCGAGCGTGACCCCCGGCCCTCTTATCTGCACACCACCCGCCCCTGCGTGTGACCCCGCCCCTTCATCTGCATACCACCCTTCCCTGCGTGCGACCCCGCCCCCTCATTTGCACGCCACCGTCCCTGCATGTGACCCCGCCCCCTCATCTGCATGCCACCAGCTTCTGCGTGTGGCCCCGCCCGCTTGCCCCGCCCCTCTGAGCGTTGCCCTGCCTTGCGTGTGCCCCGCCCTCGTCCGGTCACGCCCATCTACGTTGGCCCCACCCACCATGAGGGGGTGCGCCGCTCCCTCGGCCGGCTGCCAGCCTTCTTACTCCCCACCCCCATCCCCGCGGCTGGGCCGACTCCTCCAGCCCGTCTGGGGTACCCGCGGGTAATAACCCCAGGGTGCGCCCCTTTGCGAGCCCCGCCCCCGAGACCCCTGCAGGGTCTTCCCCCGCTGGCCGGCCCAGCGGTGGGGGCCTGGGCAGCCTGCGTGCATTCGCCTTGTCCTGGGCGCTGTGTTGGCCCAGACCCTGCGTGGCTACCGACCTCTCCCAAGCAGGGCACAGGCCCGCTCCTCGACGCTCCCCGGCTAGGTTCCCGCGGGGGCTCATTTGTCATAGGTCAAGTCCCATGGTGTGCAGTTCTGGAGACAGACTGAGACGCAGGCATCATCTAAAGTCCGGCATCGCGAGTTCACCGACGTGCGTGTGGGGAATCGTGGCTGTTTCAGCAGTGTTTCCTTCAAGTCCGCAGTGGGACATCAGGTTTCCACCTCGAAAGCCCAGCGTAGAAACGAGGCGTACATCCGGGGGTTACCGGCGCTAGTCACGTCTTGAAGAATACCACCTCCTCCCACCCCAATCCAACAGCAACAGGCTCTTTGCTACAGACACATCTTTATTGTGATGCCCTTGGCCACTAACACTAGCCCAGCCTTACAATCGTCAGTCTTACCCAGGACTGTTTCTAGCAGCCAAAGGGCACTGGATCCCGTCAAACCAAAACATTACCTCAGTCTTTAAACAACCTCTGGCCGTGGGAATGAAGACGATAGACAATAGATTATCATCACCTGGGAGATGTTTCCAGGCCTCCTTCTCTCCTGAAAATAAAATGTAGAAACCTCAGCTTAGGACGAGGCAGGAGGATCCCTACCAGTGTGAGGCCAGCCTGAACTACACAGTGAGTTCAAGGCCAGGGTGAACTATGTAAAGACCCTATCTTGAAAAAGCAACAAAATCTCAGCCTTTCAGCCTGGTGGTTTAGTTATCTCTTGGACTCGCCTGCTGCTGTCTTCCAGGGTATCAATAAACTCTTAGCGTTTTTATATTCCTTGATTACTGGTAAATTCTTTTTACCACCTGGGCACTGTACTGCAGGCCAATACAGGTTATGTTGTGAAAGGGCAAAATCCCACACAGCCAGAAAGCACCTAGTTTTGTTTTGTTTTTGTTTTTTCACTGCTAAGCAATCAACTTCTGCCTACCGTAGCAACCGGCTGCAGTTCCAATTTTGGGGGGAGGCTGAAGCAGGAGAGCACGTGAGGGCTGGAGTTCACAGTCACGGAGGACAAAACAGTGAGAACCCCCTGTCCATAAAAAAAATTAAATGACTGTAATCCCAGCATTTGGGAGGCTGAGGCAGGAGGATCACTGCAACTTCAAGACCAGCCTGTGCTACAAAATGAGCTCAAGGCCAGCCTGAACTGCACAGTGAGACCCTATCTCAAAAAGACAAAAAAAAACAAAAAACAAAAAACCCTGAAACCTCACCTGCAATTCCAGAGCTGTGCACAGCCGAGGCATGAAAGAAGCAAGCACAAGCCCTTTGTGGGCAACTTAGTGAGATGTGTCTCAAAATTTTAAAAAGGTGACAGTGAGGGGCTGAGCAGACAGCTCTGTTCGAATGCCCTGGGTTCCGTCCCTACTACCAGGAGGAATTTTTTTTTTTAACTCTTAAAAAAAAAAAAGGTAAACACCTGATTGGAACAGTGACAGTACTTAGCACTCGATTCCGTCTATCACTAATTCATGAAATAATACAGGTAAAATATACAGAATGCTGAGGCGGTGGTCACGTTAACTAGTACTAGTTCAATCCGAACCATTATGGGCATCAAACAGAGATCTCCTGCCGCTATAAGTATAGCGACAAACGAGGGACAAAGTAAAAGTTTCACTCACACCATAATCACAATAAAAATGTGTGAATGTAAACACAGACTGTAGGAGGGTAGGGTGCTAACTGGAAAACCGAATTCTTCTTACAGGAGGTCGGGGAGGAGTACCCGAAACGGGGTGCCCTGTAGGGGCCTGGACCTCTTCTGGTTCCTGCTCTAAGTTCTAGCATTCTGGGGCTTTCTTCTATGCCCTCGCTTACATCTTTAGAGTATGCTAAGGTAAGAGAGGCCCCAGAGCATTCGTGATTTAAATGCGATAGAAGCTTACTATCCATTCAACAGGCCAGAGATAGGGATGTCCCGCGATGCCACGGTGGTTCCGCTCCACTCTGCGCCCACGGTTCCTTTCTTCTGGATGCTGTCCCTTCTAGGATGTTTTTTTCCTTTAGTTTCAGGCTTAAAACTAGGACACTGACGGGCGTGGTAGCGCACGCCTGTAACGCAGCACTCGGGAGGCTGAGGCAGGAGGATCCTTGTGAGTTCAAGACCAGCCTGGGCTACAAAGCGAGCTTAAGGCCACCCTGAACTGCATAGCGAGACCGTCTCAAAAAGACAAAAAACAAGAACACTAGGACACTGCAGAGGGTCTGCACTGGCGCCACCTAGCGCTGGAAAAGCCTACAGCACAGAACCGCTGGGTCGGGTTTCTCTTAAAAAGCAAGCGCCGCTCCTCACGCGCGCCTTGCATTCCCGTCCCCCCGGCACCCACGTGGCTGCACTTGGCTGCAAGGGAAACGCGGTGTGTCCCGTGCCTGGCTGAAAACTTAGCGTAATACAGCGTGGGGACACACTTGGGGACGATGAACATCAGGCCACAGTGCCGTGCTCTTTCCGTCTGTGGCTTCTTACACCCATTTCCTGGGGTCACGGGCGAAGTTCTTTCACTGGCGCTGCGTTCTTCAGGACCCAGTCCTTTTTAAATTAAATAAGCATATGGGTACATTTTCGGTCTACATGATGATCACATTCATTACAGGGAATCTGCACCTGTACCTGAAACAATCCGATTCTTTTTTTTCCATTCCCCTACCCTCCCTTCGGCCCCTCTTCCCCTCCCTATCTACAAAAGCTTTGCTTCTATTTGTTCATCCTTTCCTCGTCTTTTTTTCTTCTCCCTTCCTTCTTTTCCCCCTCCCCCTCCCTAGTTCCCCTTCCCTGGAGAACGTTTTCTTCCTATTCCACATACACTGTGCGCCTGATTCACACTTCTGGTGTCCCACACCAGAGGAACAATATGGTATTTACACATGGGCAGGGCCCAGGGTTTTTTGGTTTTTGTTCTTTCTGGTACCGGGAATCGAACTCACAACCTCGCTCTTGCCAGGCAGGCGCAAGGTCGTGAGTTCGGTTCCCGATACCGGAGAAAAGAAAAAAAAAAAAAAAACCCAACCCCAAGGCTTTTGATTTATTTCACTTGCAGACAGAGACAGATAGACAAACACAGAGATCACCTGCTGCAAGGACGGAGGCGGCGAGGGCCACTCAGACTAATTTTTAGGAAAAAAGGGGGAGGGGAAAGGCTGGGGGCGGGGACACATAAGGCCCGCCGCTGCAGATCCACTGCGGTTGGAAACTTTTCCTTTCTTTCCCTCTTATCCGTCCCGCACCTAAGCTTGTCCCCCAGAGGCCTTCGGAACGCTGAGAGCCATTCTGCCTCCCAGGCTACCCTCCGGCGAGCCTCTGCTCGCACCGTCAAGGAAGCGAAGGCGGACGGCCGCCGAGGACCGTCCGGGCGCGGCCGAGCCCCCGGCTCCCTGCGAGCGGCGCCGCCCGCGGGGGCGACGCAGGCCGAGGCAGAAGCGTCTCTCGGAGGCGGCGTCTCCCAAAACTGCAGCATGGCGGGGGTAGACCACGCCGAGGGACTCCTGCGTTTCCTCGGCTCTCGCGGCGTGTGCGGATACGCTACGAGCGTTAAGTCGGAACCACCAAGGTCTGCTGAACGCGAGCGCTGGGATCGGGGCGGAACGCAGGACGCCACGCCGCAAGAGAGAACACGGAGCGCCACCCCGGGCTCAGAGCGCCGCGCAGAGGGACAGCAAGCCCCGCCCCGGTGACGTCACAAGCCCCACCGCACCAATCGTGTCGCGTGGGCGTGCCCGCCGGACGGCCGCTAACGCCGCTCCTCCCTGGTGACGTCAGCACAGCTCAGCCTCTAGTACGCTTCTGCAGCAACTGTGAGCGCCGGGCGCGGTGGCGCGCGCCTGTAGTCCCAGCTACTCGGGAGGCTGAGGTGGGAGGATCGCTTGAGTCCAGGAGTTCTGGGCTGCAGTGCGCTATGCCGATCGGGTGTCCGCACTAAGTTCGGCATCAATATGGTGACCTCCCGGGAGCGGGGGACCACCAGGTTGCCTAAGGAGGGGTGAACCGGCCCAGGTCGGAAACGGAGCAGGTCAAAACTCCCGTGCTGATCAGTAGTGGGATCGCGCCTGTGAATAGCCACTGTACTCCAGCCTGGGCAATATAGTGAGACCCCTTCTCTTTTATCTCTTCCACACAGCCTATAATTTAGATACTTCACTAAGGATTGCAAAGCCAAATCGTTTACTGTTTCATGTTTTAAGAGTTCATTATCGTGTGCACGAGGAACAAATATTATTGTCGTTGTTGTTCCCTCTTTCTTTTCACTGTTTTACGTTTGCCTCTCATTTCATGTTCTCTTTGCGAGTAACGTTCACGGATTGACTGAATGCCCAGGGGTTTGCAACTGCCTCACTGCTGCCCCCTACTGGACAACGGTCAGAACGGCCCTGCAAAAAGCTGCTATTTCCCTCGGGGCCAGTAGGGGTTGCTCGTGTACTCACAACCAGCTGGAGAAAATGGCTGCAGCCAAGGAGAAAAGCCTTGCCTAAGAATTCTTGGAGCTAAAGGTGTAGCAGAATAGAACAGGACATGTTTAACTATGCCCGAATCCCTAGATTCAGTCGCTGATCTGAGAGGAGGAAAAATATGTCTCCTAAATGAACAGATAATTCCCCCGCAGTCGCTTCGGATTCTGTTGCAACCTCATAGGGTCTTTTTTAAGACAGGGTCTCGCTATGCAGTTCAGGCTGACCTTGAGCTCACTTTGTAACCCAGGCTGGCCTCGAACTCGCAACGATCCTACTGCCTCAGCTTCCTGAGTGCTGAGATTACAGGCGTGCGCCACCACGCCAGGCCTTCATAGGATCTTACTGCATTTGTCTAAGACAATCTCTTAAGGAACCTGAACTGAGGGCTGGGAATGCAGCTCGGCGGTGGAATGGTTTCTTAGCAAGCACAGGTGCCGGGGTTCAATTGCCAGCTCTGTAGGAAGAGAAAAAAGAGTTTGGAGTCATTTCTCGGCTGATGGTGCTTTTACCAAAAGTCGGAGACAGCGGAAATGCCATTTAAAAGTCTGTATCCACTCTCCATCCCCAAAGTAGGGGGCAAAATAATTTATCTCACTGATTTTTCATTGAATGGATTCCTGGATCTGACCTAGTGCTACTTAACTATGGACGTTAGGGCTGCATTTGGGCGGCTGCACCCGGCCCTGGGGTTCTCACCACCCTCTCAGCTGCTCCTCATGGCTTTTTTCCATCGTAGGGGAGAACTCTGCAGTGCTGGGGGGGCTGAGGTGTGACGGGCAGCACGATATCCCCCTCTGCGGGCAGGCACTGGCTCCGGACCCTGCGCTGCGATCACCTCACGTGGAGAAGGATTTCACAGACTTGCTTAAATCAAGGATCTTGGAATAGGGAGATTATCCAAGTGGGCCCAGTCTAACCCCAAAGTCCTTATAAAAAGAAGGCAGCAAAGTCAGAAACAGAAAAGGAGACGCGGTCTGGAGTCCTGCAGCGCCCCCAGCCAAGGCATGGGGAGCCTTTGGAAGCGGAAAGCGAGCGCAGAGAAAGGGTCTCTTCCCTGAAGCGCGGAGGAGGAACAGAGACTGCTGACCCGCTTGGTTCTTTAAGCTTTCATTTATTTTGTGGTACTGAGGATTGAACCCGGGGTCCTCACACTGAGCTATGTACCCAGCCCATTTTTTGTTTTTGTATTGAGACAAGGTTGGTCTTGCTAGGTCCCTCCGATGTCCAGGTTGGGCTCTTGCTACCTGCCTGCCTCCACGCCCCAGGGTGCTGGATTCTAGGTGTACACAGCCGCACCTGACTTCACACTGGTTATTTTTCTATGGGTGTGTGTGTGGGGGGGTGTTGACCACTCAATGTGACTGTTTTTCTTATTGTTTTTAATTTTAAAAAGAACAAATGCAAATTAACAAACACAAAGACATAAAACAACACAAAAACAATAAAAATGACACAGAAATTCAAACAAGGTGATAGGAAATTTACAATGGCGGTTGTGTTACATATTGCTATCTTCAGATTGGTTAGTCAGATAACCAGATATAGGCATGTAAGGTTGTTTTTTTTTTTCAGAAGCCACTCAGACTGCGTTCCTTCCCTCTTGCTTCCCGCAAAGAGAAAGCAAGAACGATCATCAGGGGCAAGTGGCAGTTGCAGCAAAGCAACACCAAGAGCCTTCTTCACGCTCAGGAAGGAACACTGCGCCTACCTCCTCATGGTTTCCGGTACTCTACACGATCAGAGAAACTTCTCTAGTAACACACTACAGAGATGATCCCTGAAAGTATAGCCTTAACCCAGCCGCCCTCACCTTGCCCTCCTCCAGCAAACGCACACACATCGCGCTGACGGTGACTACATCCGGGGACACCAACTCCACAAATGC